CTATTTGAAATTCTCATATTTCTAAAGAATTTATTTATAATTTTTTAATCTCAAGGGGTTGTTTGCAAGTTTCATGAGATTATCTGCAATTTTTAAAAGATTTTTCATGGGGTATTTGTAGTTTTTGAAACTTTAAAGGGGTTATTTGTAAAAAATTTAGGGGGTTATATATAACATTTCAAAATATTTAGTAGGGTGTTTGTTATTATTGCAACTTTCATGGGGCTAGTTGTAAAAAATTCAATGGGATATTTATAAAATTTTCGGGGGGGCATTTGTACTTTGTAATACTATATGGGCTGGTCGTAAAATTTTTAAGTTATTGTTTATAAAATTTCAGTGGGCTATTTGTGTTCTTGATTGAACTTTTCATAGGACTTTTGTAACTTTTGTACTTTCTAAGGATTGTCTGTATTTATGGATTTTGAAAAGGGTAGTTTATAGCTTTTCTAAATTTTATGATATATTTGTGATTTTTGCATTTTAATGGTTTATTTGTAGTTTTTGAAATTAAGGGGTTGTTTTTAAATTTTTGACTTTGTATGTGCCATTTTGAAATTTTAGATTTATCTAGATGCTATTTCTAATTTTTTGATCTTAGGATTTATAAGTTTTGGATTTTATGGGATAATTTGTAATATATAGAGGAGGGCTTTGATTAATAACATTTTTAAATTAGAAATAGTTTTAATTTGATAAGGATTCTTAGATAGAGAGGATTAGAAAGAGGGATTTTAATTATTAGAATTATCTACTTATGAATAGTTAAATTTGATTAGGATTCTTAGGATTAGGTGTCAACATGTCAATTTCTGATAGGATAGCCTTTAAAAGTAGTTCACCAATTTATATATAAAGGGGAAATATGATTATTAGATTTTTTTCAATTATGGATACTTATAATTTGATTACTATTACCCAAAAAATTATTATTAGAGTTTTTTAATTATAGATAATTTAAATTTTCCATAAAATTTTAATTATGGATAGTTTTAATTTAATTAGGATTACTAAATATTTGATTATTAGAATTTTTAATTATAGATAATTTAATTTGATGAGAATTCTTAATTAGGTGAAGATCTAATACTATTATAAAAGTGTATTGGTATGTTAAAACATTTCTTCCATAAATACCCTTTAAAACACATACATGCATACATAAAACACATGCATCCATACATAAACCATACATTATACATACATAACTCCTAATTAAATGCATTATTATTCATAACCCCTAAAATAATTTCACCATGACTAAGTTGTTTATATTTTTTATAACCTCCCATTAACATATTAGTCTCTTATAATTCTCACTAATTATCACTATCATAATTAAAAAAACGTTACAACCATTCATCGTCTTACTAAACCACTATAAGTCATAACAAATCTCTTACAAAATGAATACATCATATATAACCATCATCATCTCCATTTCACCTCCTCAAATCCTTGAACGTCTCTTTGTTCCGATTTCGCCCATTTGGATTTCATTCTCTGCACAACCAACCACTACTTACTATCTCTTATTATAACATGATGAGATTAGCATGATTTATAGTGAAAGGTTCTTTCTCTATCTTTTATAGAGAATGTTTTAACTGATTGTTTACCATTAGAATTTCTCTTTGCTTGATTTACCTATAATTTTTTTATTTAATCTCTCACTCACAACCTCTCTTAATATTTAATTTCATCCATAAATCTCCATCATTAACAATAATGAAACCCCACCCCCACCACTAACAAACACTATCCTTTAGTTTCAGCAGAAACTAAATATACTTAATTTTTATAACCAATAACAAATTAATCTTCTACTCTCTCTTTCTTAATTCTCACTAATGATCAATACCATAATTATAGAGAATGTTTCAACTGTTTATCTTTATACTAGCCACTATAAATCACAACTAATTTGTTTAAAATTTTCTATGAATTCTCTTTTAAGTATAATTTCCTACTTCATTATTAACACTAATAAAGTAAGATTTCGAAATAAGCTAAATATAGAGTGAGGCTTCGTGATATGTGTGTATTATTTAGAGCTCAAGGTCTTAAGACTAAATTCTGGAAATGACACATCAAGTTACTTCACTTCCAACTGAAACAAGTAAGATGAATAATTGAAGAAGAAACAAAAAGTAGTTTCCCGTATTTATATAAATGAGTTTGAGATTTTTAGGTTCCGATCTTACTATGTATATGCAAAGATCTTTAGCACTAGCATAATATGCACATAGCAGTCCATATTTTCCAGCGTAACGAAAAAAAGATTAAAAATTTTAACGTCAAATAATATCCAGTCTGCTATTGTGGAAATTAACTTTGAGCTGAGGATATACTTTGGTCATACTCATCATGATGGTTCCTTAAACAATCATGTACTGAGTTGTAAAATTTATCCTTCACAAAAAGTTTTGTCTGATTGAAATTTGTAGGTTCAACTTAAAAATATTGTTAGAGCAAAATAATATCACACATTACTATAAGACCCCATAACTTTTTTTTAATGATGTTTGTTCTTAACAATTGAAGAAACTCTGATTAAGTCTTTTCAGAGGACTATATAGATTTTGGTTAATTTTTTAGCTCTGATAGAGTATTTTCTTAGTTGTCATAGAACATTAAAATTTTTCATATTAATACAAAATATTTAAATTATTATTTTACAGTCAGTATGTTATTTATCCTTCCTAATGGTATAACTATATTACAAATTTATGGAAAAAATCCCCCAGCATGTGCTAAATTATAAACGGCAGACATTATGTTAAATTATAAAACAAATAGAATTGTGCTTTTTATGTTCACAAATTAAATAATGTTTTTCACGTATTCCATAAATTTTATTGGAAAGCTCTGGTTTCATAAAACTAAAATTTTAGAAAAATTATAGAGTAAACCTTTAAATTTGCAAAACAACCCTGAAACTTTATAATTTTATAGATATGCTATAAAATTTGCAGAAAGGACCTTGAAATGTCACAAATAAACCTCATAAAAGATTATATTTACTCTAGGATTTTAATGATAAAAAGATAGCAAAAATCCTCAAATTACATCTAACACTAAACTTATATTATAAAAAAAGATAAACATAAAATTAATCCAACAACGTGCAACGCACGTGCACTATACTAGTAAGATTAGGCGTCAATAGTTATCTTCTGATACGATAGGAGAACACATTGCTATGTTTTAATATGACACATGTCATGCATTTAGATGACAGGTGTCAGCTTTTTTATCATTGATAGTTATAATTTGATTAGGATGATCAACTATTTGATTATTAGAATTTTTTAATCATAGAAAAATTTAATTGTCCATACAATTTAAATATGTAAAGTAATAATTTGATTAGGATTACTAAATATTTTATTATTTTTTTAAATTATGGCTAATTTTAATTTAATGAGAATTTTTAATTAAGTGAAGATAAGATTAGGTGTCCACATTTTATTTTTTAATAGAATAGAAGGACCCATGAATATTTATTAATATGACGCATGTCATGCATTTAAATGACACGTGTTAGTTTTTTATAACTGTAGGATTTATAACTGTAGGAGAACAACTAATTTCTCATTATATATAAATGAGGGATGATTCAAATCAAAATTTTATTACAAAGGAAAAAGAAGAGACTTTTTTTACTTAGGGACCCTCCACAAACCGGAGAAGACACTTGTCTAACAAGATATATAAAAAAGCAGCAACAAATTAACATATGCCGGAACTAAAGATTGGATCAGGGCTAGCCATAGCCTTGTTCTAGTTTTGTTTTGGACCAAAGGGTAGGGAAGAGCAAACAGTCGGTTTGATCAGTGTTTATCCTTTTTCTAGCAAACTGTACCGAATAACACAATGAACCGAACAGAGTTATTAAGTTCAGTTCGGTTGAGTTTTTCAGTTGTTTCAATCCTCACCAAGTAATTACAAAAACTAAAGCCGCAACAACCGGAGGAGAAGACATTCCCCATGAGAGGAAGTACAAAAAAAAAAGCTAAAGATGAAGATGGAAGAACAAGAGAGAAATATCAACGAGATTTGAGTTTGCCTAGAAACTCGTAAGAGGAGAAGACAGATCTTCTGGGAGGCCAGGCAAAGCCTATTTTGGAGTTGGGAATAGAAGTCTTAATCACACGGGTGCATTTTGTGGGCTCCACAAGGGGTGGTAAAGAAAAAATATCAAGTGCACTACGTTCATGACATTAAATGTGTACCCAAATGATATCAACTGTTATATCATTAGATTTCATGATTTGTGTTCAGATCTAACAGTTGATATCCCTTGGGTGCACATTTAACGTCATGAAATGTCCCCATCGCATGCTTTGTTGCTGTAAAGAGATACATTTAGCTCGTGAGTGAACTAAAAAATGAGTTTACAATAATTACTAGGCGATGTCGGTCGGTTCAATCCGCGCCGAACTTAAAACGCTTAAATCGATCTAATCCGAACTCATTATAAAAACGACACTGGGCTACCAAAGTTTGGGCGGTTCGATCAGTTTAATCGGTTTAAACAAACTTTGCTCCGAGCCTACTAAGTTTGAACCTAGCGTCATTGTGAGACGTTGACAAACACGAAGAAAATCACGCAGGAGAATAGTATCGCCAAGTTTACCGCTCCGTCGCGTAAACCCCGCGAGGCGGCAGAAAAGGATCCCGCGGGCCCCACCCCAAGGCTATCCAAGTAATCATTGAACGCAAAACCCCTTTTAAAGATTAAAAAAAAAAAGAAAACTATTGTTTATATGCCCAAATCAACCATGTTTTCAAATTGACCCTCTAAACCTACTTTTTGCTAAATTACCATATTTAGTTAATATTCCCTCAATCGCCCAAAAGCAAACGCCCTATTAGAAGGTTGAATTTAGGACATGGGTTCATTGTAATACAATAGGATATATTTAGGGTTCAATTTACAAATAGATAGATGCGAGGGGCATATATGGTATAAAATACAAAAGATAAAAGATGTAGATTGCGTCCGCTTGCCCTCTCATTTGCTTCGTTGGACCACCAACAGAGAAGCAGAAGAAGATGGCGAATTTTAATTAGGGAATGGTTTTTTGTGCGAAAGAAGAAGATGCCTTCAAGCGAAATCGTAAAGAAAATACAAACCTTCCTCCATTTTCTCTCTCAAAATCTGCTCTTTTCTAATTTTTTTTTTCATTTCCCCCCCTCAGAGATCAAGTTTTCTGACGGTAGGCGAGAAATTTTGCGCGGCGTTCATTCCATTTATAGCAATCATCGAAGCAATCATCTTCGTCGTCTCCGATTGCTTCGATCAGCGACCGCCGTCGATTCGGCAGCGGATTCTCAAGAAGCAGACAACATATGATCTTCGTAGACTCGCTCACGAATCCAGATGCTGTACATTTTTATTAATTTTTTAGTGTTTTTTTCGAGATCTGGATCCATTTATTTGTTTTTTGCCCTAAAAGTTTTGTTTTTTTTTTAAAATTTAGTTTCGGTCAACGAGGTCGAGGCGCTGCACGAGCTGTACAAAAAGTTGAGTTGTTCCATAATTGACGATGGGCTCATCCATAAGGTACTAACAATTTTGATCTAAATATTTGTACAAATTTAAAGTGCATGAACAAATTTGATATTTTTTTAATGAAATATCGTGCAGGAAGAGTTGCAATTGGCATTGTTTAAGACTCCATCTGGGGAGAACTTGTTTCTTGATAGAGTGAGTAGCGAGAACTTGTTTCTTGAGAGAGTGAGTAGCTACATTACGATGTGGAATTTATTTGGCAAATGAAAGATTAATTATTTCTATTTTCTTGAAAAAATAATAAATTTCTCAAGCTGATTAGTTTTAGGCTTTTTATGCTCTTAGATTCTGTATGAGTTGCGTAAGTTTGATTCCCTATTTCTTGAGAGTGAGTAGCACATTACAACTGGGATTTTGTTTGGCAAATGAAAGATTACGTTATTAGTGATTGTATATGTACCCTTAATCGATCAGCGAAAATTAGTTTCTATTTCCTTTGGTTTAGTATAAATTATAACCCTCAACGCTCAACCTAACTTTGGAGTCTAGTAGAAGGGATATCTGACACAGTATCAGAGCAACCTTGGTTTATTTTCCAATGGCGTAGAATTTAAATAAAACGGAAAGAAAAAAAACACCTACTGCTTAAGTCCAAGTTTTGGTCAGGGCCTTCAGCCTGCGGGACATTTTAGAGTATAAGATTATAACCATCAACCCTGACCGTAACTTACGGAATTCTTGTGATTTTGGAGGGACCTTTGACATGATAAGAAGAAATTTCTCAATCTAATTAGTTGTAGGCTTTTTGTACTCTTAGATTTTGTACAACTTGGATAAGTTTGATTCCTATTGCTTGCTTAATCTTTCCACCGAAGATTTCTCAATTTTAGATTTGTAAGCTGTCTAGCTGTCTTATTAGTCAGACCCAGCTAGATTTTGCTGCAGATTGCCTGTTTTGTTAATCCAGCCTGATGAATGTTTTCTTATGTCCTCATTCTCTTAACCTAAACATTTATTAGCAATCTTTTCTTCTTCTGCAGGTTTTTGATTTGTTCGATGAAAAGAAAAATGGTGTTATTGAATTTGAGGAGTTTATCCATGCGCTTAGTGTCTTTCATCCTTTTGCTCCTGTAGAGGAAAAAATTGATTGTAAGAGCAGAGAATGCAAGAACACATGGTTAATGCACTGAGAAAAAGTAAAAATAAAAAATATTAAGGCTGACTTATTGTTTGTTTCTCTGAATTTCTTGCAGTTGCATTCAGACTATATGACTTGAGACAGACAGGGTTCATCGAACGTGAAGAAGTGAGTTTTGTAAAAATTTCTTTGATGTTCATATGAAAATGGAATCATGGATTACCAGTAATATGGTAAATATCAATATAATTCCCACTTGCAACAGTGACAGCTGAGATTGTAGACATTTTCCTTCCTATCAGGCCTTAATTTTGTTGTTTTTTCACTCCACAGGAGCAAGTTTTTTAATCAGATTCTTCATACTGAATAGGATTGCCAAGTTATGAAGATTCTTCATACAGATGGTAGTAGAACACTGACATGACCTATCATCTACATGACATGATTACCATATGTGTGGTAGCAGTAACATTCTTATATCTCCTACATCCTACTTCTTGTTAAATTTACTGCCTGGATAACTAAAAGAACATTCCTTTCTGAACGTCTCTTTATTGAATCACCAACGTCTCTAAAATGGAGGAATCAAGTAGTTAGGAATTCCCTTGGAAAGTATTAAGTTAAGATGCCAGGGAATGCATGAGAATACTTTATCAACAGCTCATATGCATTCTCTCAGATATTCATTTCCTTTCCTGCATTATATAGTATCTTTCCGTACACAATTCTCTTTTAAATGGCTACAGGAAATACCTCATGTTTTCAATGAAACTGCTATTTGTCCAATTTAAGGTCGCAGTGTTCTTTTTCACCTGATAGGCAGCTGCAGTTTTGTGCTACTATGGGATCTGATATTCATCAAATGTGTTCCATCAGGAATGTTTCCCTTTTCCTCCGCAAGGCTTCTATTTTCAGGGAATCGCTAGGTTACATTTTTCTTTTTAATGCGGTAGCTTATTAGTGGTGCAGAGTGTCTTTTTCCATAGTCATATAAACAATACTAGATCTTCATTTGCACGGGATGTGAGAAAACTGATTGATATTTCTAGAGGTTTGAGTTCATGGCTTAGTTGTTTATACAATGGTGAATTCGATGTGAAGACATACTTTGGAAGACATCTTAGTTAGAAACCTATCTTTACATTCCACCGTAGAAAGTCTGTCTTAAGAGTATGCAGTTTATGTTTGTTACCGCTATTATACTATAGTCTAGGAATCACTGGCTTGGAAATTATGTAGATGGCGCTGAAGAAAATTGATAGAAATAACAAACCACCTGAAAAGTGCTGATGTTATTAACATTCAGGATTTGGTTGTATGTAGGAAAGTCGTGAGTTGTAATTACAGCCTTCAGACCGCAAATGTGGAAGAACCTGGAAAACACATTGGACATGTTTGAGGATGACCTACTAATTGATGCCTTTTTAAAGCTTTCACTAGGGAATTTCACACCTTTTATTAGCATTAGTAGTTTGATGTACTCTTATGCTAGCTACATAACCAGTGGATTAGCAACCAATCAATATCTTGTTTCTCTCAGTTAATCTTGACATTTTAAAGGTCAATTCATTTTGGTGCATATATGTGAGTCAAAGTGTGGATGGTTTATTGTTCTTGCCTTCTTGGTCCATTTCTCTTTTGTTCTTTCTCAAGAAACATTAGGTAAATAAAGGAGATGTATTATTGAAAAATACAAACTTCATCTGATTGACAGGATATTAGAAAGTCTTCACCTCCTATCTGTGACCGAATAGACAAATAGACTTTTATGATTGTGTTTGTTCTTCATTATCACTGTTCTCTTGTTTTCTTCCCGCCAAACTTAAACTGACAGACATGAATTGTGCCTAGCATTTGAATGTGACTAATTATAAGTATAATCAATGCACTGATAGAACAACATAATCTTTTTCTATTCAGCATCTTTATGGGTCTCTTTATATTAAATCACTACTCTCTCTTTAATAAATCAATAACACTATTAACTATCATGTCCTCTCTAACCTCAATCCATGTTCAAATTGGTCATCTCAAGTCCTTATTGCTTATTCAGAGATGACACTCAGCCTCCCTGGCACATGCCCAAGCGATGTCCAACTGTTTTCCCTCATCTTATCCTATTTGAAGGTAGCATGATCATTGGATTTTTATGACACAATGCTGCAGTGCGCTAACAGGGAAAAACATGTGAAAATGTATGTTTGTAAATTTCTCTGAATCGGTCATAAGTTTGCTATGAGCTGTAAATGAGTCAATTTAAACTTAACCTTGGTTACTTATTGTTGGTGAATTTAACCCTGAGATAGTCCACCCAAATGATGCTGATGGATAGTTTACTTGTTTTTGTCATGGCTATTTCTTTCTTACTGCTTTAGTGAACAAATCACACACAATCTGAAGATAAAATAATACTTATTTGTTTTTTGTTTTTTGGTTCTTTTTTTTCATGCTATATCCATATATTCACAGGTAAAGCAAATGGTGATTGCAATTTTGATGGAGTCTGACATGAAACTGTCAGATGACCTTCTTGAAGCGATAATTGATAAGGTCTTTTTCCACTAGCAATATGTCTTCTTGATTCCTCGAATCTTATTTGTAACTCATAATTCAGATCATTTGTTCATACCTGTGCAGACATTTGCAGATGCTGATGCTGATAGGGACGGAAGAATAAACAAGGATGAATGGAAGGAATTTGTTATGCGACACCCTTCTCTTTTAAAGAATATGACTCTTCCTTATTTGAGGTACACTGTTTGTATCATCCCGATCTTTATCCCCTCATATGGTCGGATTCTCATCAGTAGTATTATATTGTCTCTCTTTTGGTCATGCTTACTAGTACTATTATGAGATAAGAGGTATTTATACTGATATATAATGATCTTTGTGACGGTAGTAAAAAGTGTGGAGTAATGAAGGATATGCCCTTATTCTTATTCTAGTTGAGAGGGCAAAACTGTAATGTTACAAGAGAGACTTTTTGCCCTTTTTTCTTTTTTTTTATTCTAGAACATTCTAAACCATGACATAAGAATAGAAATTGAACTCACATAATTAAATATTCATCATATTATATGTGATAAGAGATTTATAAATATAAAATGATAAGCTTTTAAAAAAACAACTATTAATATGTGTCAATAAAAACGTAATCTTTTTTAAAAAGAATAACTATGACCACTTTAAAGTGCAGTCCTTCATTTTAAATAGGAGAATTTTTTAAACGGTTTTTCTATAGAGTGCCCATGGGCACTCTATAAGAGAGGAGAGAGATAGAGAGAAATGAATGAGAAGAGGATCCCAATGCAAATCAGGGGACCCTCCTCCTCATTCATTTCTCTCTCTCTCTCTCTCCTCTCTTATAGAGTGCCCATAGGCACTCTATAGAAAAACCGAAGTACTTATATTTTATACTATTGGGAAAAAGCAATTATCCATCATAATTTGAACTGATATTTAATAAATGGAGAACAACATTCTCATGCTCCATTAACTTTATTATTATGTCTCAGATCTATAATAATTATACATTATTACATTTATAAATACTATATTTTAAAAGTATGGAGTATTTTTTTAGCTAATTTAAATTTCGTAATGTAAAACTTTAGGCATTTCGATGCAACTAACCCTTTTTTAAATAATACTTAGAATAAATAACTTAATTTCTAAATCACGTGCATTCACACGTCATAATGCTAGTATCAGGAAGAAAAGAAGCATTTTATGAGTATCATTTTCTGCATTTGTTGGACATCCAAGCAAATATGGATAGCGGATAATATCTTCATATTCTTATATTTGGCAATCTGCTCAATTCCCAACCTTAAGTGATTAATACCCATGGAATTGTGTTGCGTAAGTTCACGCAAACAACAGTGCACACATAATCTTTCCTCCCTGTAGGTATCTTTTTCTTTCATAATTATAGCATCACCAAGTAAACGGAAGGTTCACGTTTTCAAGAGTTTCTTCCTGATATTTGGTTTTTGAAAACCCCACGAGTAACTACGTGCATTGTCTAAGAATCATTGTTCCAAAAAATATTATCATGTTAACTTATTGATTTTGTAATTATTATTTAATAATACTAAATTGTGTATAACTTTTAGAATAAAAATTAAGTACAAAATCATTATTATTTGCAATATAATGAATACAACAACATTGCAACACTTGAGCTTTGTGCAATATATGATATGTATATTTTATTTTAAGGACAAATTTTCAAAACCATCCCATTTTGAAATTTATTTATAAAAAACGACCCCTTTTAGCTTTAATTGTAAAAACCGACCCAGTTGGTTGAAACTGGGTCGGTTTTTGAATTTTTTTTTTCAAACTTCACGGGAGTTGAACTCCCGTGAAGTTTTGTTATGAGAAAAAACTTCACGGGAGTTGAACTCCCGTGAAGTTTGGAATTTTTTTTTTAAAAAACCGACCCAGTTTCAACAAACTGGGTCGGTTTTTGCAATTAAGGCTAAAAGAGGTCGTTTTTTATAAATAAATTTCAAAATGGGATGGTTTTGAAAATTTGTCCTTTATTTTAATGAACTTAAAGCATAAATTCAAGTTCTAATTGAAGAATATCACAAAAAATGAACTATTGTAGCCTTCTTTAATAAACAGTTATATGAAAAGTCAGGTTCATCATTTTGATAAAAATGTAATAAAAGAGATTCCTGGTAGCACGGTATGGCACTAGTTATAGATAAGTTTATGACGGAAAACTTGCAACTTTTCTATGTTACACTCAATAGCTTTACAGAGCCTATTATCGGAAATTCTTTTTATTGCATCTGCTCTTTATGGTCCAAAATTTTATGATTGCTCTTGCAGCTTAGTGTATGTTGAAAATGGTAATCAGAGAGGATGCTTAGTTTCCTCTCTTGGATGTTACTTATAATATCATAAATAAACCAATGTGGAACTAAATATACATAAAGAAACAACTCTCAACACTTCTTCTCAAGCTGAACATATATATTATATATATTCAATTTGTTACAAATAAATTGCACAAACTTTAATCTGTAATGAGGCTTCAAAAACTCAAAAGTAGTCTTGATCTTATTATCTTTCACTTGGATGTCTTCAAATCAGTTGATCTCTCTAGGACTCCGCCAATCAAATGACTCTCTTTAGGGATTCATCAACAATTGATCATCTCTAGGATCCACCAAACAAATGATCGTCTTCAGGGATCCATCAACAAACGATCTTCTCTGTGATCTACCAAACAAATGATCTTCTTCAGTGATTCAACAACAAACGATCCTTTTTGGGATCCACCAAACAAATTATTGCTAGATTAGGGTTTTAAGATCACACTTCATTGATAGAATGGCTTGGCTTATATAGCCTTACACCCACATTTACATAAAACCCCTCTAATATTCCTTAGTTACATTATCTTTTCAACACTCCTCAAAATGAGCGAAATATATCTATTAAGCTCATCTTGTCATACCCTTTAGCTAGATCTACTGAGCTAAGCCCTTTAGTCAAGCAGTCTACAGCATGCTCCTTAGTTGGAACATGACCTAACTCCAGTAACCCACTGTTCAGCTTCTCCTTAATGAAGAATCTATCAATCTCGATGTGCTTAGTTCTGTCATGCTGAACTGGGTTGTTGACGATGCTGATAGCTGACTTGTTGTCACACCACAAACTCATCTTGGCCCTTTGGCCAAGATTCAACTCCACCAACATGTTCTTCAGCCACATCAACTCCGCAATCCCCAAAGTCATAGCTCTGTACTCTGCTTCAGCTGTTGATCTCGTCACTACAGATTGCTTCTTGCTTTTCCAAGAGACTAAGGTGCCTCCTATAAATATGCAATACCCTGAGGTGGACATCCGATCATCTCCGCAGCTAGCCCAATCTGAGTCACAGTAGCCCTCAATGTTCACATGGCCACTCCTCCTGAATCTTAGTCCTTTGCCAGGGGCACCCTTCAGATACCTCAGTATCTGATATACTACATCCATATGACCCTTCCTCGGGTCATGCATGTAACGACTCACCACACTTACCGCAAATGAGATGTCTGGACGTGTGTGACTCAGGTAGATCAGTTTGCCCACCAATATCTGATATCTCTCACGATCAACAGGTTCTCCCGCCTCAGCACTCAGCTTGAAACTCTGATCAATCGGTGTAGCAGCAGGCTTGCACCCCAACATCCTCGTCTCTGCAAGAAGATCCAGTGCATACTTCCTCTGGAAGAGAATAATCCCCTTAGGTCCGTGAGCTATCTCTATCCTAAGAAAATATCGAAGCTGACCCAGATCCTTCACTTCGAATTCTTTGCTCAATCTTACCTTGAGCTGAGCAATCTCCTTCTCATCATCCCCTGTGATGATCATGTCATCCACATATACTGCCAGCATAGTGATGTGACCCCCACTTCTTCTGAAGAATACAGTATGATCAGCATTAATATGTCTGTATCCCATACTAACCATGGCTCTACTGAACCTGTCAAACCATGCTCGAGGGGACTGCTTCAGTTCATACATAGACTTCATCAGCCTGCAGACCTTACCCACTGTCTGCCTTGTGCCACATCCAGGTGGTATCTCCATATACACCTCTTCCACTAGATCTCCATGAAGAAACACATTCTTCACATCCAGTTGGTGTAGTTCTCATCCACCATTTGTTGCTAGAGAAATCAGCGTCCAAACAGTACTCATCTTCGTCACTGGTGCAAAAGTCTCATCATAATCAATGCCATATGTCTGGCTGTACCCTATAGCCACCTGTCGTGCCTTGTATCGTTCAACCTTCCCTTCTGGGTTCTGCTTTACGGTAAACACCCACTTGCATCCCACTGCTTTTTTCCCTGCTGGCAGTGTCGCTAACTCCCACGTGTGGTTTTTCTCAAGAGCCCCCAGCTCCTCATGCATAGCAGCCTTCCATTTTGGGTCCTTCTTAGCATACTGCCAGCTGTTAGGTATAATAACAGAATCTAATGATGTAATGAATGGTCCATGTGAAGGGGATATGTGAGAATAGGAAACAGAATGATCTAGATCCCAACCATATCTCTTAGGAGGATTTCTCGTATTACTGCGAGTAGTCCTCCTTTCTGACATTGGAGTGCGGAGAGGGGTAGGAGTAGGAATGGTATTACCTAGAGTGGAGGGTGGTGTAGGTGTCTCAGGAGTTGGAGCAGCGCTGGACGAGGGACTAGGCACTGGCACTGTTACTGTAGGCACCTCTGGTTCCTTCCCCCTCCTACTGTATGTAAGCAACTCTCCCTGAGCTGTAGGCCTAACACACCTTTTTTTCTCCTCCTCCCCTTCGTCTTCATCCTCCTTCTCTTCTGAGTACGGAATCGAAATTGGGATTGACCCCTTTGAGCTCTCACCATTCTCCCCCTCGCCTCATACCTCCAGCATCGGGCAAGTCGCCAAAAGGTGAAGTAACCCCCACTGTGTAGTACGGCTCAAGTTCCCGAAACCGCACATCCATGCTGACAAACAGCCTTTTCTCCACCGGGCTCCAGCAAACATACCCTTTCTGGGTGCCATTGTATCCCACGAATATACACTTCACAGCCCTAGGGTCTAGCTTCTCAACCGATGGTCTGTTATCCTTCACAAAGCACACACAACCAAATACCTTCAATGGTAGGGCCCCCCCGTTATCTCCCTTCAGTGTCTCACGAGGAGACTTTTACTCCAATACACTCGAAGGCATTCAGTTGATTAAGTAAGCAGCAGTCAAGACTGCTTGTCCCCACAACACCTTTGGGACATTCATCGTCATCATCATACTCCTAGCAACTTCTAGGAGATGTCTGTTCTTCCTCTTTGCTACCCCATTCTGAGCTGGGGTGTATGGGCATGTAGTCTGGTGTAGAATCCCCTGAGCTGACAGATACTCCCCAAGTGTTCTGTTGGTGTACTCTATTCTATTATCCGATCTCAACACCTTTACTGCTGCACAATACTGAGTCTGGATGTGCTTATGAAAATCTTTGAAACAATCAACTACATCACTTTTGTTTTTCATAAGATACACCCAAGTGACTCTAGAGAAGCAATCAATAAACGTAACAAAAAACTTACATCCATTTATAGAATTTACTGGGCAGGGTCCCCATACATCAGAGTGTATTACTTCAAACTTGTAAGAACTCCTATTACCCGAACTAACATAAGAGCTTCTAGTCAGCTTCCTAAACTCACAAGCATCACACTGTAGCTTCTGTTTATTTACTTTTTCAAACAGGGTTGGATGCATTTTACCAAAAATGTCAAATGATGGATGTCCCATCCGTTGATGGTAAAGCATTAACTCATCTTCTGCATACACTTTAGCTCCTCCTGTTCCCGTCCTCTCCATCACAGATGTCAGAGCTGAGTCCCTCCCTTTGCGGTCCAGATACCACAGTCCGCTACGTTATGTCCCAGTCCCAAGTCTTCGCCCTGTCCCCTTCTCCTGGAAGATCACCTTGAGAATATCAAAAGAAACAATATAATTTAGTTGGAGGATAATGGCACTAATGGATAACAGGCTAACAGGAAATGAAGGAGCATGCAGAACATTAGATAGAGTTATAGAACCTGTACAACTAATAGTGCCCTTACCAACCACATCATGTGATGTACCATCAGCGATCTGGATGCTCTCGGCTTCTGCTAAGTGAGTGTAAGATAAGAACTCACTGGTATTGCCTGTCACATGTCTGGATGTTTCAGAATCCATTATCCAGGCGGTGGATCTTTCCTTGTTTGGGTGTGCGCGAAGGGCATAATTGGCATAGTCTCCAGAGAAAATAGTAGATGCCTCCTCAGACACATCACCTACTGCTCTCTGCTTCCTTCTTAATGCTGCCAAGAGTGCCCGATCCTCGTCAGTGAAGATCATCTCAGCTTCTTCTCTTTCTGTCACTGTCAAGTTTGTTCGGTGACCTCCTCTTCCACCTCGCCTGCCTCCACGGCCATGGCCACGATCTCCAGCCTGACCACGTCTACCCTAGTCCCTCTCCCTGGGTGGTTTAGGGTTCTCAGATATCCTACATCTCCGCAGTTGAAGCACTGGCTAGTCTCCCCTCTGAATCTAGTGTTATCCGGGTTGGATACCACCAGTGCAGACTTCTCCCCTGTAAGTCCACCTGCCCCAGCCTGTAGCCTGATACGGCTCTCCTCCTGTATCATGGCCGAGATTGCATCCTCCAGTGGTGGGATCTTTGTCTGGGTTAGTAGCAACGCCGTCCTCTGTTCATACGCTGGAGCCAAGCCTCGGAGAAACAACATGGTCCTCTTCTGCAAAGAGGCCTCACGCTCCTTGCACTCCGGGTTCTTGTAGCTCGTTAGGGACGAGAAGTGATCGTGATCGAGCCACAAGCGCTCTAGCTTTGTGGCGTACTCTTGTACAGTCCTCTCTCCCTAGACTGTAGCGCTGATCTCCTTCTCGATCTGGAATACCCTCAGGTTATTCCCCACCCCATTGTAGGTCCTCCTCAGCTTCTCCCAGACATCCTGCACCCTCCCAAGACCATCCACTGTGACGGCAATTGGCTGGACTACAGAATTCAAGAGCCAGATGTACACCAACATATGAGTGAACTACCATTCATCTCTTTCTGCGGAGCCCTCAGCTGGCTCAGTCTTCTCTCCTGTCAGATATCCCTCCAGGCTCCTCCCGGCAAGGGTATATTTCACCCGTCGCGACCAACTCAGATATGTCGCAGGTCCATCGAGCTTTACATCGATAGGTGGAAGCTCCACCTTCTTGGGTGGTGGCTTTGTCGAGCCCTCTCCCTTCGACAACCTCATTAGTTGCATCAGTGTTGAGATCTCATCAGGATTCAACTTCTTGATGATCTCTTCCATCGGATTTCTGCCAGTCTCCGTCATCGATCCAACTTGTATTGATGCGCAGCGAAAATTCCGGCAGCACTTCGGCAGCACAACAAGAGAGTTAGAACAACAAGAATTCATGTTTCACTAAGGAAACAAGAATCAAAAGCAAGATATCTCAACAAGGTGAGATATCAGCTCTTCCTCTCATCAGTTCGAGGACTGACCTGTCGAGGGAACCTAAACAAGCTATTACAATTCAAGAAAAAATCATTTAATACATATTATAGATCCCATTTTTTTTCTCTTGGATCTAATCAGCAACAGTCCTGCTTATTTCTCTTCCCCCCAAAAAGAAAATCCCCGAATCACAAAAAAAAAACAAATCCCCTAATCAGAAACAACCCTTTCATCTCTGGCTCATCTTCACAAGAAAAAAAAAAAAAAACCAGCAGCCGATCATCACAGAGGCACGATGAAGTTCAACCCAATGGTGTCCAGCTCCCGCTGCAAGAGCCGTCGGGCCCACTTCACCGCCCCGTCCAGCGTCCGTCGCGTCTTGACAAGGTCCTCGTCGTCCGTGGGACCTACAAGGGCCGGGACGGCAAGGTGGTCCAGGTTGATCCCGACGTTGAAGCTGGACAAGGACCGGAAGGCGCTGCTCGACCGCAAGTCAGCACGTGACGACCGTAAGGCCAAGGAGGAAGTTGGGCGGCGGAGAGCGGTGGTGGAGAGCGGAGGATTTGGCTCAGAAGAGGGAGGCGGCGGCTAGGTTTGGCTCTGATACCATATTGCTAGATTGGGGTTTTAAGATCACACTTCATTTATAGAATGGCTTGGCTTATGTAGCCTTACACCCACATTTACATAAAACCCCTCTAATATTCCTTAGTTACATTATCTTTTCAACACAAATAATTCTCTTCAGGGATCTGATCCTTCTTTAAGGATCCGACAAATAAATGATCATTCTTTAAAAATCTAACAAACAAATAATTATTCCTAAGAGAATCCAATAATAAATGATCATTCTTTAAGGATCCAACAATAAATGATTCTTCTTGGATCTAACAAATAAATGATTATTCCTTGAAGGATCTAATAACAAAGGATCCTTCTTTAAGGATCCACCAAATGAATTGAGAGAACAATCTTATCCAAAATGAACCAACTGAACATTTTTTACTAAATCAAACATCAAAGCGAACCAACGAATGATCTCCATCAAACCAATCCCCAAAATCCAAACTAAACAAACTAATTTTGCGCTATATCGATCACAAAGTATATCAAATGATGGATGAACAGCGTTCCTGATGAACAGTGCCGGAGGATGAACAGTGCCTTGCTTTTGTTTCAAGCGGGCCTGGTAGGAGTGGGGTATGAACAGTGCTCCTGATGAACAGTGCATATCTTTGAACAGTGATCAGAAGTGGTGGTGACTAGAGTTGTCCGCTGAGGGTGGAGGCTTAGAGTTTGATGGTGGTGGGTGGCGACTAGGGTTTCGCTATGAGTTGCACAAATTTCATGTGGACCCCACTTCAACTCTTGCACAGAGTGAAGGTGCCCCCTGGAGATATCCGATTTAAGGTTGTTGGTTTGGATGGACGGTTGGGATTTGATGAAGGATCGGGTGGATGGCTCGGATGCCCATGCTAAACATAGTAATCAGAGAGGATGCATAGTTCCCCCCTGGATGTTGTTTATAATATCATAAATACACAAAGAGACTTGTCCCTTACCAATGTGGGACTAAACATACATCAAGAAACAACTCTCAACAGTGTATATTATTGTATATTATTATGCAACATACGAGTTCAACTGCATTGGTCTGGCATTTTTTTGTTACTATTTTTCTGTTAAATAAATACACTTCATTTGGTTGTACTCCTCGCCAGGATTGGTTCCGTTTCCTGAAATATAAACTTCAATTGCCTTCAGATTCCGTTATGCTGCTTCACAAACTCACTGTACATCCACAAACAAACACAAGAGTTAGATGGAGATTTTTTATAACTTTCTAAATTAATGGAATGGAAATTGTTTTCTCTAATGCTGATACTTTGTTATGTTTTAGGGACATCACAACTGCATTCCCAAGTTTTGTCTTCAACACTGAGGTTGAGGATTAAAGAAACCCATGCATAAATCCAAGATATCTAGTGAACTGCTGAGTCAGTACCTTAATGGCCATGAGATGGAGATGAATTGATCTCTCAAAGGGTGATTGGCGGAAGTCAGAGGAGGCAGTTAAATGAGAATAGATGAATTGTCATTTTCCTCTTCAAGCTTCCATCTGCTCATCAACTCAGACTGTGCTGGACTATTCATCAGTGGTGGAAGTGCAATTGCTATTTTTTTTCCTGATTGGTTCGAACCTCCTTAAAGAGGGAGGGAAAATCCAATGTGTGTGGAACTATGAACTAACATAACTGTAGTTCTTAAACTAATTTATTTATGATTTTCATTGCTGTAAATATTGTGAAGGAATGATTGGTTGTTTCTAAAACCATCAATCTCATATTTAATTTATTGTTTTGTCTAGTAGTAAAATCCTTAGTTATGCTTTATCCCGACCTTGAAGGGGATTAGTTTGAAGTTTTGAACAGTGTTTTCCTCTGCGTACAAGGAGGCATTGTTACCAGTACAAAATTGAGATGCTTGTTTGTGTTTCTTGCTATTGAACATATTATGAACGTAAAGAACAAAAGTATGTACTATTAAATTTTGCAGAAAGTTCTGTGGAGACTGTAGAGGAGTTTACCCTTCTTTCTCCTCTTCTCGTCCTGTCCTAGAACAACCTTTCTGGTTTCGCCATAGCATGTTGAAAATTTTAGCTCTGTTCAGTTGTTTCTGTCATTTTTTTTTAAATTTCATATGCATTTCCTTTTATCATAAAATTATGCCATTCCGTTTTGTAAGTAGATAGGATGACATATGAGTATATTTTGATTGTCTATAAATTTATTTTCTTCAGTTCTTGCATTGTGCATTTATTGCGCTCTCATGTAATTTTTCTTTCAGAAAAACAGGTTGAGAGCCCTTCTCAAGGGGTTATTCCCACATCTTGCTTTTGATTCATCTTCATGGTTGTGGGAGGCGGTTTTCAAATCTAGGCAACTTGTTTTTAGGGTGTTTCAGGGTTAATTTCAGAAAACCTGCCTCAACTTTGGGGGTTTTGCTAATTACCCAGTTAACTATTTTAATTCCACAAATTCGAGGGGGTGTTTGCACATAACCCCCCTGAGCTTCTTTTATTCCACTAAAATGCTTGAAGGTTTTTCATTTTTAACCTAAAGTAACACTTAATGTGTCATGTGCCAAGCACATGACTGAAAAGGCAAAAATACCCCCCTCGGCCATCAAAAACCCTTTTATCATTTGAATCCATGGTATGGTTATGTGGAGGATTTTCTCAGTTTCTTTGGCTGTTGTTGGTTCTCCTTATAATTTCATATATAAGAGGGATCATTTTCTTTTTTCCGGAATTTCATTGCACGTCCCCACTCATACCTAAAAATATTAATACTACGGCAGGAGTAGCCTCATAAAAATGAAGTATCCTGGGGGGACGTTACAGCCTTACCCCAAAACTAGGCTCAGTAAAGGAGCATAGAGTGTTTGGAGCAACATTATTTGGCATCAATTCTTTTGATTTAATTAATAGTTCAAAATAAACTCAAAACTGGAATTTAGACAAGAAAAATTCAACGGTGCATCAGTATTTTTTCCTCTGTGGTACTCCATGAATTCAGAATTCATCTTTTTGTCTTTGTTCCCCATGGTAATTTGGATTTTTGTAGGGAATACCTTGAGTAAAAAGGAGGTGCAATTTTCTCAATGTCTGATTGAATCCTTGAAGGAAATGAACATGTTATTTGAGGCTCTGTGCTTAAGATTTGTCCTAACTTTGTGAAAAGAAAGAGCGTATTCTGTTGTGCGCCGCGGAAGCCCGATTCGACAAATCAATAGCACACACAAGAACCAATAATAGACCACAATAGAACACAAGCAACCCAATCACAGCAAGAACATAAGATATACGTGGTTCGGCAATGTGCCTACGTCCACGGGGCAAGGAGGGGGGAGTTTTACTATTTGAAATCAAGGGGAATACAAATTAGGGTTACAAATCTTACCAAAACCCACAAATAAGCCCTCTTTGTCTCTCCAATTGGCTCCAACAATAGAAGCCCCAAATCTCACTTTTTAGCTGCTGCTCAAAATCCTCTCTCTTAAACCCTAAAATCGAGTTAAGGGTATTTATACAACTCCCAAACGAAACGGGTCTGGAAACAGAACCCAGGCCCAAACCGCTTCGGCGGTCGACCGCGATCCATCGCGGTCGACCGGACCGCGGCGGTCGACCGCGGCGAAAGCAGAAACTTCTGCGGTCGACCGCGGCAGTCGACCGCCACTGATCCAAGCGCATAGTAGGCTATGTGCACGAACGCGGTCGACCGCCGCGATCGACCGCCACCCAGTCTGCCTGAAACCTGAGCCTGAAAGCCAATTCTACATATTCTGTATTTCTTCTGATTCTCAAGAAAAGTTGGACATTTTGTAAGAAAGAATTGTTTGTTGAATATTAATTCTGATTTCAGTTCGGATCCTCAAGTGTATCTTACAAACTTGTGACGAGGATGTAAGTAGATTTCCAAGAGCAAGTCATGCTTAACCTCCTGCGATTGAAATGAACGCTAATCCGAGTGCAATTGAAATGTGCTAATATGATCTTAAAATTCTCAATTGAGCTCCAAAATGGCGTGAAAACTGCAGTCTAGTAAGTATTTCTATGTTCAATGAGAACTCTCAGCTGCATGCGCCAGCTGAAACTTTCAGGGTTTCTCAGTAACAGATCAGTGTACTGCAAGCTTTACTCAGCCCATTGGCACTAGCTAGCAGTCCTGGATCAGATTTTGATGATCAAATGAGTGAGAGAGTGAAAGAGGTCAGAGATCTTGATTTTTGATGATGTATGTGTGATAGTATTTAATGAGGGTCAATGATGAAGAGGGTGCGTCCAAGATACCGTTGCTCTCAACAGAAGCAGCCAAAACCATCAGATCATGGCTCATGGAGCTAACAGACACTATTGACACAGTGCGTGTCCCTGCATTCTACTTGGGGACCAGACGCCTCTCTCTCTAGGTCTCTTTCTCTCGCATCTCGGATCACGAGTGATTTGCATCGGTGTAACGTATCACCTCTTAGTATCATAGATGTACGATCGATCATACAAGATCAGATGATCGAATGTTCTTGATGATCAAAATTGAGATAATATGTGCTTGATATGTGCCAAAAAGTATACTAGGAGCTAAACTATGCAGCTTGCGTTATGTTAATAACTTTTCTTATTTTCACTTCTCTATTTCCTCGTTCTTATCAAATAATCAGCCTACAGCTTCAAGAAGTTGGAAAATCATGTAAAGTTATTATTATATTGTGTGGAGTTACAGGTTGTATGCTGACATTGTGAATCTTTAGTAAGTCTCTTGGAGAAATCTCTTCCATACATGAGGAACTGGTATTATATGTTCAGGATTCTCACGATTGTCGAACTCATAGAAGATGAATTATTTTGTTAATAGGGAATATTCACTCTCATGTCCATGGGAGACGATGGTTAAAATGATTTTAATTGTAAGAGAAATAAGTGGCATACTAGAGTTTGTACATACACGCCCTCCTATCATATTGCTTTGTGACATTTTGTAAAATACCATTGTATGTAGATGGCATCGTTTTCTCAGTGAGGCCAGTGATGCCTGTAATTTATGTCCCAATAAGTAATTTTCTGCACAATGATATAACAAGAGTTTGATGTGCATAGAGTAGGGCCTTCAACCTGCCAGACTAAAAATTAAGTCTGCTAAATCATTCTGTTATTGGATTATTATTTGTGAAGATGAGCCTAAAAATTAGTCATCGACTCATGTAAAGAATTTACTTTGATTTCAGAGGAAACCAAACAAATTTACTCTTGCGTGGTTTTTTTTTTTTTTTTACTTCTTTGAGGGAGTATTTTCTAAATACAGCTCTTGATGGAATATTCCGAATGAAAGGTAGGAGCAAGAATTTTAAGAGTACGGTTATAGCTTATATGTAAAACTAGTCGGTTGCCTTAAAAGAGACCAAACGGAACAACTTTAGACTCCACAATCAATATCACATGGTACATGACCACAAAATAATTATTACCTAAACTCATTGGCTTATTTTGGTAGAGCACTTTTAAGGAACTAGACATCTCTTTCAGGACTATCCAGTGTAACAGTAGAATCTGGTTATGAATCAATACAGCTAATCCTATGGCCTGCTAAAAGCATTGTTGTTAGGGGTGTTAAACCGTATCCGTATACGAGGAAATATCTGTAACCGTATCCGTTAGGATATGGCTATGGTTACTCATATCTATAACCGATAGGATATGGTTATGAATATGGTTTTGTAGTGAAATATTTGTATCCGTATCCCGAAATGTCTGAATGCACATTAGTCATATTCTTACGATAGTTTCGATTCTTAAATTATGGATTTATGGTTAATTTTGATAATCGAGATGTCTAATCTTAGTTTTTTTAGCTATAATGGACATATTAAGGACCTCTTTCGTATCACATGAACTATGTTTTTCTCAATATTATCTAGTTTTCTCATATTCGTTTTGTATCCTCATGCATATCCGCTTATATATCTGCATCCATCTCCGTAACCGTATCCGATTTTAGCGGATATGGATATGAGTTTTCCTTACCGAGATATATCTGTACCTGTATTCGTATCCGTATCCGTATCCAAGATAATTAAGCAGATATGGATATGGTAAGCATCATATCCGAGCCGTATCCGGACCGAATGCACCCTTAATTGTTGTCCTTTGGAAGGTTTGGGTGGGTGTCAAATTATAACTCTCCGTACTCTCCGCAACTTCGGAGTTTTGGTCCAGTGAGAGTCCTCCGACAAGGTATTAGAGTAGCACAAGTTCAATTCTCACAGGTCATGAATTTAGAAAATTTTTAATATAGTTGTTGTTAATGTCTGTGGCTAAATCTGGAATAAAATAGATAAATCTGTTAGAGAGCCGAAGTGCTATATTTTAAAACTTTTTTTAAAGTTTAGCTGATGTGCGTTTATGAAACGCTGTGCTTAAAGCAATATTTAACCTACTTCGGTGCAAGGATCCCAAGGACAAACTACTTTCAGGAACCACATTACAGTACTCTGATGTGCAATGACCCAGTACTGTTAAGATCTCCTCGATCTATAAGACCTTTCGGTCTAGGCAAAGAACTCCTCGATCTGTTAAAACCTTTCGGTTCAATAACCTTTTGGTTCAAGGAGAAATCTCCTCGATCTGTTAAAACTTTTGGTTCAATAACCTTTTGGTTCAGGCAAAGATCTTTCTATTTGTAAAAACCTTTCAGTTCAGAGCTATGTTCCTTCAGGCATAGACTAAAGCTTTCACGCTTTCAGACTCTGCAGCAACAGCACAACAGCATAAAACACTTGTGTGTTTTTCGTATCTCTTTTTTTTATCTCTTGTATCCAACAGCTCCCCAAGAGG